GGGCAGGGGGGGGGGGCGGTGGCGAGGACGCAGGGCGCAGGCGCGGCTGGTGCTCTAGGGGTGCCCCGCGCCGGTGGGGGAGGGGGGGAGTGGAGGCGGGTGGCGACCCTCTGACAGGTCTCCCTGTTTAACCAAGTGCCGAGCCCGCCTTCTGAGCCCCCGCAGCCCGCAGACTTCGCGGGACGACTTCCCTAAGCCTTGTCGATGGCGGGGATGGCGGGGATGGGCCGCCCGGCCCGGCGCGTCCCAGCGCACCTCGTCCAGGCAGCCCCGCCAGGCCGGCTCCTCCGTCAGAAGCCGAGCTCCTCACCCAGAAACTATTAACGAGCGTGACCCCCAGCACGGGGGTGACGGCGGGGGATGGGGAGAGAGGTGACTTAGATCCCCGGAACAATAGCTCATAACGCCCCACGCTGCCGGAGAGAAATAAAAGCATCAGGACTGTACAAAGCGTGTGTTTCTGTACTCTGCAATGCTTTAGAAAAACAATAAAACGCTTGCGGGGGAAAAAAAAAGATACTTGTTTCTGATTTTCTGGAAAACCAGACGTTTGTTTGTTTGTTTCCTTTAAAATGTTTCAACAAAATCCTGGTTGGTTTCTAAAGATGTTGGATTAACATTTAACACCTCGTCGGTCACTAAAGCCCAAGCAGTTCACCAGCCCCAACACAGCCTCGGCTAAAAGAACATCACAGCAAACAGAACAGGGCTTTTAAAGCTGGCAAACGAATGCCACACACTCCTAAAGGAGGGCGGGGGCTTAGGGCGAACTCGGGTCCAAATGAGTTTGAAGGGAATAAAGAGGGGAAAAAAGTCAGCGCAAGTTTTCCTAAAGCGAGCTCGCGAGCACAGGCGTCGCAAACAAGGGCTTTTGTGCACGCTAATTGCACCATTTGTGCGCAGAAGTTCCGACGCGAAGTGTGAACTCTCAACAGAAGGAAACATGAGACGACTAAAGTGCCCTGGTTTATATGCCCCGCTCCTCCTCCGCCGCCGCCGCCTCTTCTTTCTCCTTCCTCCCGCCGAGCCCGCTGTTGCAGCTTGTTTGCACTGGGGCTTATCCGGAGCGGAAATTCCTTTCCGTTTTTGTGAATGACAAACTCATTAACAATTCATCAACACAACCTGTTCCAGCCGGCCCGTCCCCACGGCAACAGCCCCTTCCGCAGCGCGCTCATTGGCTGGCCCGGAGAATGTATCCATTGAGGCGCTCGCTGTTTGTATCCATTGAGGAGCTGCCTCTCGCAGGGGGTGTGCGAGGGCTGAGTCCAAGGGACAGTGAGCAAATCCAGCCTTGGATACTCCGGGGAGTAAGACGCCCGGGTAGATTCGAGGTGCAGCCTCGGAGGGAGGGATTAGGAGTCGCTAGACTTTTTTCTCCTTTCTCAGGAGCACGGAGTCCGAATTAATAGGATTTCATTCACTGGGGAGGAACAAAACTGTCTGGGCAGCTTCATTCAGAGAGACTCATTGACACCGAGAGCCAGCGGCTGCAGCCGGAGGCAGGGGAACCGCCGGCTCGACTCTGTCTCGCCTTTCCCAACCGCTAGCCCCGGCCTGGGAAAGGCGAGGCGGAATCAAACCCCGCTGCGAGAGCGGCGGCTTCGCGCGGCGTGCTCGGCCTATGCGTGCCCCTTGGGGCGTCTGATAGGCACCCCGCCCGCCCGCAGCTCGACCCCCATGATAGATACGCTCAGACCCGTGCCCTGCGCGTCGGAAATGGCTATCAGCAAGACGGTGGCGTGGCTCAACGAGCAGCTGGAGCTGGGCAACGAGCGGCTGCTGCTGATGGACTGCCGGCCGCAGGAGCTGTACGAGTCGTCGCACATCGAGTCGGCCATCAACGTGGCCATCCCGGGCATCATGCTGCGGCGCCTGCAGAAGGGCAACCTGCCGCTGCGCGCGCTCTTCACGCGTGGCGAGGACCGAGACCGCTTCACCCGGCGCTGCGGCACCGACACGGTCGTGCTCTACGACGAGAGCAGCAGCGACTGGAACGAGAATACGGGCGGCGAGTCGGTGCTCGGGCTGCTGCTCAAGAAGCTCAAGGACGAGGGTTGCCGGGCGTTCTACCTGGAAGGTACGCGCCCGGAGAGCTCGGCGCGCGGGGCGAGGCGGGGGCGCGGGGCCGCGGGCTGGGCTTTCCTAAAGCGAGCTCGCGAGCACAGGCGTCGCAAACAAGGGCTTTTGTGCACGCTAATTGCACCATTTGTGCGCAGAAGTTCCGACGCGAAGTGTGAACTCTCAACAGAAGGAAACATGAGACGACTAAAGTGCCCTGGTTTATATGCCCCGCTCCTCCTCCGCCGCCGCCGCCTCTTCTTTCTCCTTCCTCCCGCCGAGCCCGCTGTTGCAGCTTGTTTGCACTGGGGCTTATCCGGAGCGGAAATTCCTTTCCGTTTTTGTGAATGACAAACTCATTAACAATTCATCAACACAACCTGTTCCAGCCGGCCCGTCCCCACGGCAACAGCCCCTTCCGCAGCGCGCTCATTGGCTGGCCCGGAGAATGTATCCATTGAGGCGCTCGCTGTTTGTATCCATTGAGGAGCTGCCTCTCGCAGGGGGTGTGCGAGGGCTGAGTCCAAGGGACAGTGAGCAAATCCAGCCTTGGATACTCCGGGGAGTAAGACGCCCGGGTAGATTCGAGGTGCAGCCTCGGAGGGAGGGATTAGGAGTCGCTAGACTTTTTTCTCCTTTCTCAGGAGCACGGAGTCCGAATTAATAGGATTTCATTCACTGGGGAGGAACAAAACTGTCTGGGCAGCTTCATTCAGAGAGACTCATTGACACCGAGAGCCAGCGGCTGCAGCCGGAGGCAGGGGAACCGCCGGCTCGACTCTGTCTCGCCTTCCCCAACCGCTAGCCCCGGCCTGGGAAAGGCGAGGCGGAATCAAACCCCGCTGCGAGAGCGGCGGCTTCGCGCGGCGTGCTCGGCCTATGCGTGCCCCTTGGGGCGTCTGATAGGCACCCCGCCCGCCCGCAGCTCGACCCCCATGATAGATACGCTCAGACCCGTGCCCTGCGCGTCGGAAATGGCTATCAGCAAGACGGTGGCGTGGCTCAACGAGCAGCTGGAGCTGGGCAACGAGCGGCTGCTGCTGATGGACTGCCGGCCGCAGGAGCTGTACGAGTCGTCGCACATCGAGTCGGCCATCAACGTGGCCATCCCGGGCATCATGCTGCGGCGCCTGCAGAAGGGCAACCTGCCGCTGCGCGCGCTCTTCACGCGTGGCGAGGACCGAGACCGCTTCACCCGGCGCTGCGGCACCGACACGGTCGTGCTCTACGACGAGAGCAGCAGCGACTGGAACGAGAATACGGGCGGCGAGTCGGTGCTCGGGCTGCTGCTCAAGAAGCTCAAGGACGAGGGTTGCCGGGCGTTCTACCTGGAAGGTACGCGCCCGGAGAGCTCGGCGCGCGGGGCGAGGCGGGGGCGCGGGGCCGCGGGCTGGGC